AGCGACGTAACAAACACTACAGCTGTTAAAAAAAAAAAAAAAAGTTCTACATAGACGTTTTTTGACATTCTGTTAAGAAACTGATTTAAATATCTGGATTTATCTGCCTAAGCTCACTGAAAAGCAGCGTAGATAACCTTACTGCTTCCATTGCTTTGGTGGAAGCTGCGGGGAAGGGAAACAAACCTTTATAATTCAGGTTATAAAATAGTCTGCAAGGAGTGGAGAAATAAGTCTTTCCTTCTGAAAAATAAGACTTTGTCGTTAGCCAGGAGCTAAGGTTAGTGGGTCAGACAGTAACAGGTACCTCCAGGATCCTGGGTTACTCCGCTGCCTGCAAAGGGAAAACACATTCTGTGCTGTTGAGTCCCACGCATGGGACAGAGCCAGCCTACTGCTTGTCTGCCAATGCTATCAGGTCACTTTGAAGTATGAAACAGGTAAGGGACACCTGACTGGGGAGGGGGCTTGAGCAGTGCTTGGATTTCACGTGTGTGGGGACACCTGAGTGGCAGACATGCCAGATGGGTGGATGCTGAGTTCAGATGAGACTTGCGTCTCTGCTCGCCCGCTTCTCCAGCCTGCAGCATGTCACTGCAGTCCCCTCTCCTGCCCGACCCCTGCTGTATCCTGGGGTGCCTAACTACATAGGTTTGTGTTTTTTCTCTTACGCATGCTGAGCCCTAGGAAATTCACTCTGCAGTTAGTAATTATCAGGACTTCCTACTTCCTTAGCTATTGCTTCTGCTGCCGTTAGCTTGAGTGGACCTTAGCAGGTCCTAAAAATGATACTTGGAGTTTGTGCTCTGTGTACCATGCAAGTAGTGGGTGCAACTCAGACTGGAGAGGAACAGAAACAGCGCAGGAGGCATCTTTAAGGCAACTCTCTGTCTAGAACAGGTCCAGTATCCAGGGGGATAAAGAGCATCTCTAATCTCCTTACAGTAACCTCTCTGACCAGCCCAGGAAAACCCTTTGTAAGGTTACAGTGGTCTTTATAGTTGCTCCTCCCTGAGAAAGGCTGCTCTTAAGCAAGGTCCTGCAGGTTGTCAGTAACTTCTTACCCCTCTTTTGGGATGCACAGCATCACCAGAATATCTGTGAGCTATTGGAGCGAGAACAGCTTAAATTATTTTGAAGTGCCACTAATATGCCCATCTTTTTCTTTTTGAAAAGTAGACTGTTTAAATAGTCTTCAGATTTCATTCTAAATAAATCTCATGCCAGAAATATCAACCACTGCTTTCTGTTGTGATGGGCAACTTCCAGTATTGCTTCAGAGATAACATGAATTTTGGCATTTATAGAACTATTCATATTTTCAAGCAGGATATTAATAATTTCCTACTTATGTTGAAGTGATGTAAGTTGAAAAATTAGTGTGGATTTACTTTCTCTTCCAGATCTTGCAAGCTAGTTGTGCCTCTGATGTGCCCTGGCCTTAAACGAAGTCAACATTTTCTTTTGAGTTCTGGTTTACTTCCAAAGTGAGAAAGATAAAACTGACACTGTAAATACCTGACAAAGTGTTTTCAGACTGCTGATGGTTATTTTCTTGCCTATTTTGACTAGTCTTTATCAACCTTATTACAGAAGAAGGAAAGTCCTTTGATGTGGTCCAAAGCTTTGACTATAGAAATACGGGTGTTGATGTTTGTCTTTAGTGACTAGAACATGAGGTGGAAAGGGAGAGATTTGGGCCCTTTTACACATTAGGGTTTTTTCATGTCTTAAGGTTCTTGTATCCCTTCTGTTCTATCTATGCACACAGATAAAGAGAGATTAATATTTCTTATTGTGGGGGGATAAAGCTGTTAGGGGATTCTTGAAACAGTCTAATAAATGGTAAACACGCTAAAGACCTTAAATCCTGGCTCGCAAAGCCGAGTTGTGTTTAAAGGCTTAGTACTGGGATGGATGGCTTGTTAGAGTGCATTTGGCTTTAGAAGCATTTGTAGAGTCACTTTCTTCCATTATCCTTCTTCCCAACTTGAAAAAAGGAATAATCACTGGGTTTATCATCGCTGCTGTCTGTGCAGGAAGGATTGTATCTCCAGAGAGGAGTTATTTGAGACTGTTAGGATCTCTGTCTCTTTAGTCTCTCCCCTGCTATTCCTGTCTAGTGAAGAGCAATACATTTGAGTGCTATCTTGGGCGAAGAGAGAAGCAGGGGAGAGAAAATCCAGGGTGGTGCTGGATAACGGGCAGGCAGGGCTGTGTGCAGGAACTGCCGCCGTGCTCAGGGACTGCAGGAAATGCCTTTAACCCACTTTCATAATTAATGTTTGGGGAGAAGGAGAGGGCCCTGTGGGATAAATTAGTATTCTTTGAATGTACATGCGAACAGATGTTAGCCAAAGCAGAATGGAAGAAAAGATGCCCACTGACCCAAATTTCTTAGTGTCCTGTCCTGTCTGTCTGAAATTTTCATGCTCTGGCTGGTAAGCCTGAATAAGGAAACAATTCCTTGTTTACGTGTTTTGCCACATATGTTTTTACGGTTTCATAATATACTGTTTAATGCATGGAGTCCCTCTTCTCTGGCCTGCCTCCTTCCCCATTGTTCTGGGCTGGACCATCATCGGTTCCCAGCTTGTGTATTCTCAGCTGAGTCTTGGACTGGGAATGGCTGGGCTTTGCCAGGAAACTTGGGTGTTTTGTAAACACTTGGGTTTGCTGTTCTGAAATCTGTTAAATGGTCAGCACTTCTTTGAAAAGCAAATGGAAGCAATCTCGTGGAAGCAATCCCATGGAAACAAAAAGCAATAAATGTTTGTGGTCACTTGAAAGGATTGGGAAGTTTATTATTGTTAGTTTCTGTATGGGATACAGAAGACCAGCTGGAGACTTTGCATGTGTGCCATGCAATTGTCATTTGCTACTTTTAATTATGATCTGACTTTGTTTCCATGCAAATATGTCCTCTACTATGTTTGTTTTAATCTGAAGAATGCCTTCACGTAGTTGGCAATGTCACTTTACCATCAGGAGTTCTTTTAAATATCCTATTTTCAATGACTTAAGACTCAGCTTCTTAAGCATGAATGGTCAACCCTGAGACCCAATGCTCAGTGTCGGGTGCTGTTTGGAAAACAGCTGAGTGCATCTGTGGCAGAAAAAAAAATCAAGGAAGGAGAGGGAATATTTGAATTAAATACTATTTTTGCAAAATGTTACAGCTTACCTGAAATGAGTATTTCTGATATATTGACATTTAGTCTTCTCAGTCATGTCCCTCACCCCCACACGCGCTCTTCGCCATAAAGATGGTTTGTGGTTCTCTGTAGAGATACCGCGTAAGTCTAGATGAAGAACTGTGAAGAATATTTAGACATTATGCTATTCTTCCATTGAAAATTAAGCACTGGACTAAGATTGAGGAGAGATGTTTTTGACAGCTATTGTCAACTTTCTGCCAGAAAAGTAAGAGGATCTGGAGAAGGGAAATGTTCATTATTATCTCTAAGGGTGGACATGGGATACAGAATGCTAAATGTAAACCCTTGGCTTGGTCCTGGTGGTCTCCCATCCTTGCAGACTAGCCAGGAGCACCTGATAAGCAGCAGCTTTATTCCACAGGCTTTTGATATCATAGCAGCTGTAGTTTCATTCTCATATGAGATACTTTGGCCTTAGTAACGTGGATGTGGGGTGACAGAGTGCGTCTCTTCATGCTTCCCTGGCCTGACGGCAGCTGGGGCTCCTCTGCTCTCTTGGGACAGCAGAGGCTCTTCACCGAGAGCATAGGAGGGGATGGCTCTCCAGCATCGTATGCCGTGGGATCCTTAATTGACTTCAGTCCTCTGCAGCTTACCTGACTTTCAGGAGCATTCAGTACTCATCACCCACTGTCTGTGACCTATCCCATGGAGAGGCTCCTTATTTTCAGCTGCAAACACACTTAAAGTTAGCTTAACCGTAGAAGGACACTTCATTTCCTCTGGAGACATTTAAACTGCGTAGTCAAGGTTTTGCGGTATTGAGCCAAGGTGAGAACTGTTTTTGTGGCTTGTCCCTGCTCTCTTCTCTTCCCCATCCTGTCCTCAGCAAGCTTCTCCCTGCCAGGAGGGGGCTGAAGGAAATGGGGTTTTAACTCTTGCAGGGATAAATTCTTCCTGGTCTGCACTGAAGTGTACTCCCTTCTTTTTTCCTTTTCCGTTCAACAGAAGTTGAAATAACCGCTTAACTTGCAGAAATGGAAGAGAAAGGTCTAGTACAGTCTTAGCAGTGCTGTAATTTAAAGCGAGCAGGTAGTTTTAATCCACAAATGTTATACCTATGTGATTATCTTAACTGGCTATTACACTAAAATAGCTGTAGTTAAAATGAAACAAATGCTTTCCTGTTTATTGTGAATGAGGTAACCACTTTAAATTTAAAGCTTGATAGATTCCTGAATTATTCTTTAGGGATTTCTCTCTCTGACAGTTCTTGCCTTTGTGCATCTTACTTGCCTTCCTACATCCACTTACTCTGAATTAAAACTGTTTAAAAGGAGATGATGCAAAAAAAAAAAAAAATCCTTAACATCTTGTATTAACAGAGTGTCAGGGTTGTTGAGCAGAGACCGTTGCTAGCAGCATAGAGTGGAGATCCCGATGCAGTGTGGTCTCTCTGCACCCCACTGTTGGGATAACGGGCACCTGGCTGTGCCGCTGCTGCAGATGTGCCGGGGGAGAGTCACACCAGGCAGACACGGCACAGGCAGAGGAGTGCGGAGTTACTGCGGAGCTTGGGGAGGAGTCATGGGGTGCTCAGGGGTGCAGGTGAAATCAGCAAGCAGGAGGTAGCCCCTCAGTTTTTCTAAGAGGCAAAACCAACTTGGAGCCCAGGGAAAGGGAGGCGATGCCTCGAAGGAGATGGGGGGAGAAAAAGATGAAGATTGCCTGAAAGTAAACCTTAGCTTTATTGATCCTAAAGAGAATAACCAAAGGGTACTTCAGTAATTTTGTGCTGTTACGTTTTTCTAATTTCCTTTCCTCTTTCTCCTCTACAGTTGCTCTTGGTCGTAATCAACCCTTGAAAAAAGAGAAACCGAAATGGAAAAGTGATTACCCGATGACAGACGGACAGTTGCGCAGTAAGAGAGACGAGTTTTGGGACACAGCACCAGCTTTCGAAGGTCGCAAGGAGATTTGGGATGCCCTCAAGGCTGCTGCACATGCTTTCGAGAGCAATGATCACGAACTGGCACAAGCAATCATTGATGGTGCAAACATAACACTACCACATGGTAGGTTCATCTGAGGTGGATGTGGCCTAAGTGTAACAGTAGGTTAAAGCAATTGGTTTTTTAACCTGAAAAATTACTTGAGACATATGTATGCAATAGTTATAAATACTTGTATTTCAGTATGCAGAATGTCTTCCTATTTGATGTTTCAAAGCAAAATTACGTTAGCGTGTAGATGGACCAAGAAAAGCTACCTTTTTATCTTTACCTAAATTTCAATGTATGATCAGGTACATGGTGTAATACACAATTTAAGACTCTGTTCTCTGTAGGGCCACACTTGTGGCTTTCTGTAATCTCTTGAAACACCTGCATCCTTGAAGGTGCAGTTTTCTTAATTTTTTCCCAGCTTCCCTTTTAAGGGAGTAGATTTTTTTTTTTCCCTGATCTTATGGGTTTCTTTGGCACTAGAATTGTTTTGGTTTTTTTTTTTTTTAATTTCTTTTCTGAAGAGTATGAAAAACTTTCCCAGAAAATTGGTGCTGGCAATCTGCTGTAAGATCTTGTACAAGATAAACTATAAGCACTTACTTCAGGTGCTTTCCATTTTGCTCTGTTTATTCTGAGTTCTGATTTTTTTCACTCTGTTCTCCATCACTCCACCCTCTGAAATGAATCACACACCTTTATTCCCAATAGAAGTACAATTCAAGTCCTGCCTCTTTTTTTTTTTTTTTTTTTTTAAAAAAGGGGGTTTATACATTCATAACCTGAAAGAGTCAGGGTGAAATTAAAAAAAAAAAACAAAACCAAACACACAACCAAAACAGCCCACACCAAAAAAACACATCACCACCAACCCATAACAAGCCACACTGAACTGAAGCAGGCGTGTGTTCTGGTTAGGCTCTGCTTGGTGTCCTCTCTTCCAGAAGGGGCGTGAAGAGTCTTGCACCAAATAATGAACTTATTCCAGACATGTGGAGCTGAATGCTGTTTAAAATACATTATATATGTGCTGATTAGGGTCTCCCAGGAAGAGAAAAAGGATGATGTGGAAGATCACGTACCTTGCTTTTTTGGGGTAACTAGTCTTCATGAGGCTGACTGTTCATATTTCTTTTTTTTGTTTGTTTTTTGGTGGTGTTTAGGACCTCAGTTTTCCTTAAGAAGTCATAGTTGATGATGTCTTTAATTTGGAAGGGGTGGATTTGTGAGTTTATCTGTCTTTTCCTATACTGAAGTGTGAAACATTACTAGTTATTGGGGCTTGGCATGGTCCTTTCCCCAGTCGTAGCAGGCAGGATCTCTGCAACATCGCTGAGAGGTGGAAACTTCCAGCGCTGCAACACGACCTGGCTTTTCCATAATTCATGGACAGTCTATTGTAGTCCTCCAGACTGTTGTTTGTTTTCAGGGAGGCTTGTGTTTTGCTGGTTTGACAGTTAATGAGTTTTTGTCAAGGGCAGTTATGCATAACAGAAATTATTTGTATTATATTTCTGTAGTAGCTGTAGTTTTCAAGAAGAATTTGTCAATTATTTCCAGAACCTGCCAATGCCAAGGAGATCTTGGGTCTCCTCTCTTACAGACCTGTTGGAGCTCTCTATACATTCTAGGCCCAGTCCATTGGAGAGACAAAATTTCCCTGCTATAAGCTACAGTGGTTTTCAAAAGAGAGAGGAAGGAGTCAAGTTGTCTAGCACAGAACTGGTATCAGAAGACCTCCTTCTGCCTGTGTTTGTCATACCGTGTTTCTTTCCTTGCACTAGTTCATAAAGCTGGACAGAGTCTGGAAATCTAAATTACCTACCAGGCTTCTTGATTTTATATATCAAAACTGTATTTTAAGTAGCGTGTTATTTTTATTCTGTGTCCAGAAAACAACTGAATATTCTCCTTCTAAATTGATAAGTTTCTGGATTTTTGTCCTTCCAAAACACCTACATGGCTGAAAATGTCTCATAAGAAGCTGGGTGTTTAAGCAGGTTGTGAGCTGGAGGAAGTTGTATAGGTGAGAGGCATCTGGCAAAATGGATAACTGAAGTTACTGGTAATTTTAAGTCACCGTTGAGATAAATGGAAATAATTAATATCTCACAGACTTGAGTATTTGCAGACCTAAGGTAGTAGCAGCATTGTTTTGCTTAGTTGCTAAAATAAAAATAGTAGAGGTCAGGAAAACTCAATGTTATATATGGGGGAGGTTTAACAAAATACAGGTTACCTTCTCTTACTGCTTGTGTGAGTTGCTGTCCAGATCAGACTGTAGCTGAGCCTAAAGAACTCTCTCTTAGCCTGTAAGTGTTCAGTCTCTGCAGTGAGGGTCTGAGTCTGCTTGTGATCGTACACACAAGACTGTTAGAAACATAGTTCTTTTAGTAAATGAGAATTTGAATCATGAGCACGCTTTTGCAATGAGAGGGATATCATTTGTATAATGCAGTTATGGAATTTGGCAAGACCCTGGTAATGAGCTATTTTGACAGCAACAGATTATGTATTCAGTTTAAATGTTGCACAAGTGTACATATGAACAGCACTTCCAGGGGAAATGTTAAATTTAGGGCATCAAGTCATGCAAAGGAGCTCTTTGACATGTTAGGCCTCTGCTTCCCCTCATTAGAGAGACATGACAACTTGTAATTGCAGAGGAGGATTTTATTCAAGTGGGAAAGCTTAAGCAGTTTAATTCGTGTCTTTGGTTCTGAGATGGAGTTGCTTGTGTGTCCGTGCTCCTCGCTTACGGCAAGAGAGGATGGGTGGTGCATAGTTTCAACACGCCCGAATTTTGAACACAGTGTTTCTTAGTTTCTTGAATAACTGCTTATTAAGCTCAGACTTTATAAGTGTGTTTCAAGCTTTAAATCCCAGCAGTTTCTGGTTGCAAGCGCGAATCTGAAGCTGGGAGGATAGCTCGCGTTTTTTCTCTTTGGGCACCCTGAGGAATGCAGGATGGATGCCATGCTCTGGAAATCAGCCCTTTCAGTGTCACTGAATGCAATACTTAAGGAGGCAGAAGTATGTGCACTCATAAATTTTAGCTCTTCAGCGGACAATTTGCTTGAGGTCCAGACTGTAGTCTGCTTTCTAAGGCCCACGTGCGAAATGTTCAGAATATTTCATAAATAAGTCAGGAATCAAACTTAGAGGCTCTGTTACCCAAGCCAGGCCTGGCCTGAGGCCTGATTCCAAATACAGAGAATATTTTGAATATTTATCCAGGATCTTGAGTTTAGTAGTGATTTGTGTAGCCACAAAATTGCGTTACTTGATTTTATTCAACTTTCCACTGATGGTGCATCAGCTGCTTGCATAGCTTTCTCTGTGGTGTGACCTTTCCACTACAGAGAAGGCTCCTTCTTTTAGAAATTCAAGTATTTCTTAGTCATCGAGCATTGTTATTCCATGTATGAATAGATTATGAATAAAAGCCTTCCATTTATGGGCTCAGTAATGCCTGTTATCAGCAAACTGAGCTTATCTCCGAGCAGGTAGAACAAACTGTCCTTGTTCCGAGTGACACCAAAAACCTCCGTGGTTTTGTTTACAAAAACTCACTTTGTGCAAAATTTAAAAAGCAGGGAAAATAGCTGTTGAGAAATCCAGCTGCTGCATATGCATGAATTACCTAGCCCTGCACTTAACACCATGTCTGGGTTTACCCCTGTAGCTGCTGAGCCGTGCCGTGCCCCCTGCGGGGTGGGCTGTTCTCCCACCTGCCCTGGGCTCTGTGCGGTGACCTGGAGCGTGGCAGTGGACCCATGTCACCTCTCAGATTCATCTTTTGTACCCTTTTTGTTGTCTGCAGCTATTTACTTGGCCAAGCAGCAAATACACATCCAGTTCAGGCTGTGTCTTCTGTAGCAAAGTTAGGATGATGCTTGCGGTGACTCCTGAAATAACACCTAGATGCCTATGTGCAATTTTGTCTTCTGGTCCACCAGAAACCCTGGGATGAAACGGCTCGGGAGTGCCAGAGTGGCTCCTTGGAGTTTGGGCTTTGTTTCTTCAAATGGCAGGAAAAGCGAAAATTTGCTGCTCATGCTGTGCGTGAAAACCCTCTGTGTTTCCCCAGAGAAAGCAGGCAGCTAGGAAGATGCCATGTAGAAATCAAGTCCTTTTATTTTTTTTTCTTTCTTTCTGTCCTCCCCTAAGTAAATACGAAGATGCCATGTAGAAATCAAGTCCTTTTTTTTTTTTTTTCTTTCTGTCCTCCCCTAAGTAAATAATTTGACAATGTAGCTTTGGTATTTTTGTATGGGAAAAGCTAGTATATGTGATGGGGGGATTGTCAGACAAGGATGGCACATTCTTCCTTTGATTTCTTAGCTTACCAAATAATCTTGAGTCCTAAGGAAGACTGTGTTACCAGCATCAATGAAGATAAATTTCTCTATGGAAAAAATGGAAATTTTCTAACTATTTTTTTTCTTCTCCTGAAGGAATAGGTCTTCTGCAAAACGATACAATGTTATGAGACTGTGGCATTCCCTCTCATTTCTTTTCTATGTGCACAACAGAGGCTTAAAAATAACCAGACCAAACCCATACATCTCCATTTTAACTGTCCCTGTGTGGTAAGCGTGCTGTGTATGCATTCAAACTGTGTATTGCTTACAAAATTAAACCTTGCGGGAAGTGGAGGAGTGGGAAGAGAGGGCTGGGAGTAAGGGCTGACATAGGTTTGCAGATACAAATTCTGGCCTAGCTGATGCTGGTAAAATAAAGTTGCTTTTTAATTCCAGACAGGAAAGTGAGGGGGAAAAACTCCTCTCTTCTTAACACATTCAGCCAGATACCTCACTTGTCTAACCTGTGTGAGGAAAACTCTATAACCAATATGATTTTTCTAATGGATGACTTTTGCTGTCTTCTGCGGTTAAAAATAGCACATAAGAAGTATTAAATAAATAAGTAAGCTTGTGGGATGGGCTTAGCACTTCTCATCTATCTTGGGTGCCTCTGTGGGATGGATTTAAAAATAGAAATAACGTTATTGCCAATTTATACTCTTTTTTTGATGCCTTAAAGTAGCACATCCTCAATATTTTATTAAT